CTAGACCCTTCTTCAGAAGGGTCTAGGCCCGAAACGTCAGCCTTCCTGCTCCTCTGATGCGGCTTGGCCTGCTGTGTTCATCCAGCTCTGCACCTTGTTATCCCTGACTTATGCCTCCTCCTTTTTCTTGACCAGTGTCTCAACTTCTCCAGTCATACAGCATTCCCTACACCTACGAGACTTGCCCTTCACACTAACAGGAACAAAGGAACATTGTGTCTCTGAACTCTCGTTATATCATTTTTGAAGGCCTTCCATTTTCCAGCCATCCTTTTATCTGAAATTAGCTACCCACCCCACCATCAACTTTTAAAGTTCCTGCGTAATCACATCAAAATCGGCCCTCCTTTGATCCAATGGCTTTGTCAAGTACAGAAGGCATTTTGTCAATGCTAAGTTCATTTGGGTTCAACACTACTATTAGACTCCCTTAACTGCTTTACAATTGAACTTGATTTGATTCATCCATTGTCTTTGTAAATTAAATGCAGTAATGTTAATTTCTTGTTTTAGTAGGGATACCTTCTACAATGGACATATCACTAAAAGAAACCCCATAATACCATGTTCCACTGTTGCCACAAAAATAGAAATCATGCTAACATCAGAATTATGCTCAAACAACATTAAAATTTACCGAACAGGGACAATGTGATCAGATCATATTGATCCAAGATGAAATAATGGAACAGAGCCGTTTCAGCCTGAAATTTTGATGAAGCATGAAAATGGATGTTAGGATACAATGCAGGATTAACATATGCCAAAACAGGGTTTGCAATATTATGGGAGGCTCATCCAAGTTCAGCTAACCTGCACTAGTTAATGTTAACCTCAACTCCCACCTCTTGAAATTTTGATCAGAGTGAAGTAAAGCAAGTTTGACCTGGAAAAGATACAAGAATTGAACAATGCTTGAAGCTGATTCCAAAGTTCTCTGGAACAGCGCTGGAAGCCTTGAGCAGGAGGGGGATAGAAAACAGGTCCTTTATCCACATGGAGGAGGAGTTTCTCCAACATGCACCATGAAGTCAAGGGGAAAAACTCAGTATGGAAATTGATGCAAGCAGTGTAGTCTCAAGTATCTCACCCAATCTGTACCATGAGCCTTACACACTGCTCAATTCATTATATTCTCATCATTAATCCACCAATTTCCACCAATCATGACTCACATTTAATTTTCATAGCTTCGTAAGAACAAAACACTGCAAATGCTGGAAATTTGAAATAAAAAAAAACTAAAATGCTGGACATAGCAAGTCAGGCAATGCTATTTCCGTCTTCACAGATGTCAATGTTTCAGGTCAGTGTCCCTTTTTTTAAGAACTGGAACTGCTCAGGGATATAACACATTTAAAACCAGACTTGGAAAAGTTTCAGGATGAAAGAACAAACAGAAAAATCTGTGACAGGGTGAAAGGCAAGAATGCAAATAATATGATCTCATCTTTACAGGTTTCTGTTCTCAATATCAAGTTCAATGATTGCTAATCATATCTCTGCCCTCACTTCTTCTAAAGACGTCAGCTCCGTCTGCTCTCCCACTTTTATATACTGGAAACATATTTTCTTCCTTTCCTTGATCCATCACCATCTCTTTTTAACGAAACCCCTTTTTATTAATTATTATGCGATATACTCAGCAGGTTAGGCAGCATCTGTAGAGAGGAAAAGGAGTGCTATCATTCCAGGTTGATGATCATTCATCAGACATTTGCATATTTACAGCATTTTCTATTTATTTTAGACTCTGCACCATTTAACTTTTGTACCATCTCCCCACACCCCTAGCCCCTCACCTCAATCATCCTTTTTCCCTTTTAACCACTACCTGACCTGAAGCATTAACTTGTCTTTCTGCAGATGCTGCCTGTTGGGCTGAGTTATTCCGGCAGTTTCTACTTTAATTCTTAGCTTCACCTCACCCTCTCATACAAATCACTGCTGCATCTTCATATACACATCTCTCAGATTCTACACACTATTAGCTAGCAGGCATGACAAGCACAGCATACGACCCTTACATACTTTTCTCTCTTGTAGGACAAATTAGCACACAATTGCAGGCAACAGCACTTAATTGGCAGCACTGACACAACCGTACACTCTCACTCTGCTGAAAGATAGAAAGCTTACTGATGTGGTAACAGTTGACACCATTGTTAGCAGAAGAGTTGAGAGCTCCAATCTAATCCTCCCTTTCAGCATCTGACATTGCTCACATCCCTCAATCGTTCCTGATTTACAAGCTGCAGATGGTGTAAGCTTGCAACTCATACATTAACCCCACTGCCGGACCACACTCACCATAATCACACTGTTTTACCTTTCTCCAATCAGATAATCAAGAATTGCAACTTGGTGAGGCAATATTGCAGGAGCAAGAAGAGGAGGAAAAGACTTGTGCTGAAGAAACCCTGTCACTTTCTCACACTTGCAGAAACCAGATCAGACATTTGCATGACACTATCGAAACTTGAATAGAGGAGGGATCTGTACATGGTGAAACATTTGAGCATAAATGGGCTGTAGCCAAGAGAGGGAGAAAGGTAGTGCAAATGCAGTTTGCCAGAGGGCAAAAGGACACAAGGGTTCAGTTGCAGAGGACTCAATTGAGGAATATGATGGGACAACATGCAAAAACAACTGGTGAATATACATACGTAAAATTCTTGGTGCATTGCAGCCTGCTGAAAAGCCTGTAGTCAGCGTCAAGGATATGAAGTAGTCCAACAACAACCTTGAACATAGTGTCACACAGAGCCTGCAGCTTGTCCTTCCCAGTGCAGATATGGTGGGCAATCACGCAAACACAATTATAGACCCAACCACGAAGCAATGTCTGATAGGTATCTCAGCTTTCATTGCAACACAAGCAGAAGCCATCTGAACATTGCAACTGTAGCTCCAGATGAAGTTTTGTAAACTCAGCTTGCTGCCATACAAGCTCAGACTACTTCCTTCATGGATGTGGATATCAGTGTTCAATGAGGCTTAGTGGATGTCAGTGTTCAATGAGGCTTAGTGGATTTCAGAGTAGCCTAATAAATGAAGCAAAGTGTGTTGTTGAACATTAAGTGAATGTGGGAAACCGAGAGAATTCGGTTACTGTAAATCAGGAACAAGAACAGAATTTGCTGAAAAAGTTCAGCAGATCTGGCAACATCCGTGAAGAAAGTTTTGAGGAAGGGTCACTGAACCCAAAACGTTAACTCTGCTTTTTCTTCACAGATGCCGCCAGACTTGCTGAGCTTTTCCAGCAACTTCTGCTTTTGTAATTGAATGGGGGAATTAGATGTGCATTCACTGGTACTGCAGTCAGATAAGATGATCATAGACAGCTCAGCTAGAAAACAGTTCTGAGGCCCTGCTTTCCATATACCTAGTCGCAGAGGCTACACCCTCACTATGACAAGGATGTGGAAAATGCAGCTGACTGCATAGAAGTTTTGGTGACCTTTCCATACAACAGTGGGAGCTGAGTTGAGAGATGTTGGAGATGTCTTAAAGACAGAGTCACAGAGTTTTTACAGCACGGAAAGAGGTTCTTTGGCCCATCATGTACGCACTACCCACCAAACAAAACGTCATTTGCTCCAGACCAAAAGGAGCTCAAGACAAAAAGATTTAAGGCCAAGGTTGTCCTCACAAAGCTGCAGGTCTACCTCGAAGAAGGTAACAGATTTCAATGAGAACACTATTTCTGCCTTAGAGTAAACAGTCAAATTGTTCACTGAAAACCGTGGGATGAATATGGTCCTCCTTCTTCTCAGCACTGCCTCTGCATATGATGCAAGCCAACTACAGCACCAATGATTGAGAACAAGTGAGTACCAAGGCCTTCACAGCATGTGATTTTTTAAAATTCTTTCATGGGATAAAGATGGTAAGGCCAACATTTTTTGCCTATCGCTAATTATCCTCAAGATGGTGGCAGTGAACTGCCTACTTGAACCAAATTTGGGACTGGGTATGTGAGTTGGTGATAGCTCTCCATGCTCCCAAACATGTTTCACTGTGCAAAGTTTAGAGACAGTGTTAACTGAAATGCTGGAATCAAAAATGATGCCAAAAGAGTTGAATTATCATTAGGAGTTTAACTGACACCATAATCTGCCTCACCTGCAACCTTCAATGATGCTTAAAACCTACCCCAAGAAGAGTCTGAAGCAGTCAGCACTAGAAGTCTGTATCAATGGTGCAAATGCCATTTTGAACCTGAAGTGCTTACAATATATACACTCCGAAACAGAAGTTGCATGCTGCTCAACTTGGCTTCATCTCAGCTAAAGGAAATTAAGTTGAACTTCAAAAAAAAGAATTGAAACAAGATCTACATAAAGAGTTGCTCAAACATGACACCAAATCTATTGCTGGGGAGACATTTCAAATTACTGCATCTTAACCTGGGGACTAATGAACAATGATCTAATCCAAATCCATCTCAATACCCTCCTTAATTATCCTTGGACCACTAACCACAAGATAGATGACAATTTAACTTAAACTGACAGACTATGCCAACAGACATAGTGCAGCAATATACATTGTTTAAAAAATAACAGAAACCCAAGGTCTACCAATACCATCAGTATTGGCTTGCTAATAGAGAAGCAGAGAATAGGAATAAGTCAGTCTTTTCCAGGCTGGCAGGATGTCATGAGAGGTGTGCCACAGGTGTCAATATGGGGCTTTCAACTTTTTAAAATTTATGTAAATGATTTGCTTAAGGGATCAAAGATATGTAGCTAAGTCTGCTGATGCAATAAAGATAGGTAGGAAAGTGAGTTGTGAAGAGGACATAAGGAGCCTACAAAGGGATATAGATAGGTTAAGTGAATGGGCAAAGACCTGGCGAATGGGGTACAATATGGGAGTGTGAAATTGTCCATTTTGGCAGAATGAATAAAAAGGAATTGTACACAGTGACAGGATGCAGAGAAATCTGTTGCCCTAAAGCATGAATCAGACAAGGTTAGTATGCAGATACAACAAGTAATGAGGAAAACCAATAGAATGTTGTGGTTTATTGAGAGGGAAATTGAATGCAATGCTCCGGAGATTATGCTTTGGTTAAAGAGGGCATTGGTGAAATCACATTTGGAGTACTGTGTACAGTACTGATCGCTGTATGGTAGGATGTTAATGTGTTGGAAGCTGTTCAGAAAGGGTTTATTAGACTAACACCTGGAATGAGCAGATTGTCTTGTGAGGAAAGATTAGACTGGCTAGGCCTGTAACCTCTGGAGTTCAGAAGAGTCACAAATGACTTAATTGAAACACATAAGATCCTGAGGGGACCTGATCAGTTGAATGCTGACAGAACTGGGAAGATGGGTTACAAAAAAAAGGGTTGCACATTTAAAACATTCATAACAAAACAGAGACAAGGAAACTTTTTTTTTTCATGTCAGAGGGTTGAGAATCTCTGGAATTCCCTTCCTCAAAAAGCAATGAGTGTGTGCAGAATCTTTAAATATTTTTTAGGGAGAGGTTGATAGATTCTTGATTACGAAGGAATAAGAGAATGTCAGATATATGCAGGAACATAGCATGAAGTTAAAATCAGATCAGCTATGATCTTATTGAATGGCAGAACAGGTTCAAAGGGGGAAGTGGCCTACCCTTGTTCCTTGTTCATATGTAATCTAATACTCTTAGTCCTCTTATACACAGTAGACCAAAATTATAACGTGATGCTTCGAGCTTTGAAATATACAATGCTTTCATTAAAGCTTCAATTCGTTGGCGATCTTTAGTCAAGAGGGCATTTCATCATAAGTATAACTTTGACTCAAGGAGAAACTACTTCACAATAAGGAGGCATCACAAAAATATAATGATTATAGTTCTACAGAATTAACTAAATGCTGTTCAAAGACTTCAGGTAGCACTGGCATTATGAAATTATTGAAATGAAGTGATTCATTCTATTAAAAAATAATGTATACCTGCGAATATGTAAGGTATTCCAATCAACATTCTCTACACACTGAAGTGGTCTGGCACCAAAACATTTCCTGCCAGGTCAAAATACAAACAGCACTGCACTGAATCCTCAGCTGAAATCATGTGCTGATGTTCTGGGCTAACTCACAAACATCTGACAGAGATAACAACATTACATTTGAGCCAAGCTGACATTCAAAGATCCTATAAGATTACCGAAGATTGTTCATCTTGGCAGTTCAGTCAAAGGTCCTCTCTGAAACATCAAAAACTAACCAAAATTAACTGGTCCTGATCTAATATTCTCTTGCTTAAATTTGCTTCATATAAAGATTTGATCAGGTAAAACAAAATCGTATTAACTTGTCATACGTAACATTAGGTGCTATATAGACATAAATCTTCAGTTTCTTCCACACCTAAAATACCTTCTGGTTTCCATCAACACAGCTGCATGCCTATGTGATTTAAAATGCAGTGTTCAACGTAGTGCTTAAAGCATATTGTTGAACACCAATGTTGCCTTGTCAATGTCAACCTGTGATACCAGTGAATTGTTGGCATTGTATCCTGACAGAGAGACTGAGTAGTCAGCTGCATCCTGCTTACCGACACATCAAATGAATGGTATGCTATTTACAAGCACACTAACCTGTTCTGTGCCATAGCTCAAATGTATTTGCAAGGCTAGATATCACAAAGGACTTCCTCGTAATCCACCTGTCCTGAGCCCATCCGTCCTGCCAGTAATCCCTCTCCGTCTGAACAAAATGTTATCAGTCATTAGTAACACACAACGAATTCACAGACATAGAGTCAATAATCAATCCTTTCTTTGGGTTGGTTACATTGCACAAAAACCCACAGGTAATATCCCTTTGTCTTTTTTAATATAGACATTTAGTGGATTGTGATCCTATGGGAGGTGCAAGTTGGCAATTAAACAAGTTTTCACCTTACCCCTGAAATTTTCTGGCTGAACCAAACGAAATTATTCAATATTCCAGCACAACATACAGGATATTGATTTTCAGGGCTATCTTAAAGATCAGAGAGATCTAAAAGATAAAGCCCTAAAATGGAGTAAAGCCAATTTTGAGGGTATTAGGCAAGAACTTCCAGAAGATGATTGGGAGAGGCTGTTCGCAAGTAAAGGGATGATTGGAAAGCGGGAGGCCTTAGAAAACGAGATAACCAGAGCTCAGATAGTATGTTCCTGTTAGTATGAAGGGCAAATCTGGTGGGTATAGCGAATGCTAGATGACTAGAGAAATAGAGGCTCTAGTCAAGAAAAAGGATGAGGCATATGTCATGTATAGACAACTGGGCTCAAATGAGTCCATAGAGCAGTATAAGGGCATTAAGAGTATGCTCAACAGAAAAAACAAGAGGGCAAAAAGGGTACATAAGATATTTTTGTAAAATACGTTTAAGGAGAATCCAATGAGATTCTACAAATACATTAACAGTAAAAGAGTAACTAAGGACAGAATACGGCCCCTTAAAGATCCACAAGGCTGCCTGTGTGTGGAACTGCAGGAGATAGGTGAGATATCAACAAGTTTTTCGCGTCAGTATTTACCATGGATAAGGATACAGAAGCTAGACAACTTGGGGAAATAAATTGTGATAACTTGAAGACTCTCCATATTACAGAAGAGGTGGTGCTGGACGTCTTAAAATGCATAAAGTTGGATAAGTCCCTAGGACCTGATCAGATGTATTCCAGAACTTTGTTGGAAGCTAGAGAGGAGATTACTGGGCCCTTTGCTGAGATAGTTGTATCATCAATAGCCACAGGTGAGGTATCAGAAGACTGGAAGTTGGCTAATGTGGTGCCATTATTTAAGAAAGGTCACAAGGAAAAGCCAGGGAACTACAGACCAGTGAGCCTAAGTTGTTGGAGGGGATTCTGAGGGACAGGATCTACATGCATTTGGAAAGGCAATGACTGATTAGGGAGAGTCAACAATGGCTTTGTGCATGGGAAATCGTGTCTCGCTAACTTGGTTACATTTTTTGAAAAAGTGTCGAAGAAGATTGATGAAGGCAAAGTGGTAGATATTTTCTATATAGACTTCAGCAAGGCATTCGACAAGGTTCCACATGGTAGACTAGTTAGCAAGATTAGATCACATGGAATCCAGGGAGAGATAGCCAACGGGATAGAAAATTGGTTGAAAGTAGGAGACAGGGAGTGGTGGTGGAGGGTTGCTTTTCAGATTGGTGGCCTGCGACCAGCTGTGTGCTGAGTCCACTGCTTTTTGTCATTTATATAAAGGATTTGGATGTGAATAAGAGGTATAGTTGGTAAGTTTGCACATGACACTAAAATTGGTGGTGTAGTTGACAGAGAAGAAGGTTATTTCAGAGAACTACTGGATAAACAATTTAGATAGATGTGAAGTGTTGCATTTTGGTACGGCAAATCAGGGCAGGATATATACAGTTAATCACAGAAGCACAGAATCATAGACTCCGTACAGTGTGGAAACAGGCTATTTGACCCATGGAGTCCACATCGACCCTCCCAACAGCATCCCACCCACATCCACCCCCACATCCTATACCTGTAACCCTGCATTTTCCATGGGTAATCCACCTAGCCTGCACATCCTGGACACTAGGGGCAATTTAGCATGGCCAAGCCACCTAAGCTGCATATTTTTGGACTATGGGAGGAAACTGGAGCACCTGAAGGAAACACATGCAGATACAGGGAGAAAGTGCAAACTCCACACAGACAATTGCCCAAGGGTGGAATTGAACCCGGGTCCCTGGCGCTGTGAGGCAGCAGTGCTAATCACTGAGCCACGATGTCGCCCATAATGGTAGGGCCTTGTGGAGTGTTGCCAAATAAAGGGACCTGGGGTGCAG